CTCTTACATACCTAGAAAGTCTCGGCATCACCTTCTCTTACATACCTAGAAAGTCTCGGCATCACCTTCTCTTACATACCTAGACAGTCTTGGCATCACCTTCTCTTACATACCTAGACAGTCTTGGCATCACCTTCTCTTACATACCTAGACAGTCTTGGCATCACCTTCTCTTACATACCTAGACGATCTCGGCATCACCTTCTCTTACATACCTAGACAGTCTTGGCATCACCTTCTCTTACATGCCTAGACAGTCTCGGCATCACCTTCTCTTACAAACCTAGACAGTCTCGGCATCACCTTCTCTTACATACCCAGACAGTCTCGGCATCACCTTCTCTTACATACCTAGACAGTCTCGGCATCACCTTCTCTTACATACCTAGACAGTCTCGGCATCACCTTCTCTTACATACCTAGACAGTCTCGGCATCACCTTCTCTTACATACCTAGACAGTCTTGGCATCACCTTCTCTTACATACCTAGACAGTCTCGGCATCACCTTCTCTTACATACCTAGACAGTCTCGGCATCACCTTCTCTTACATACCTAGACAGTCTCGGCATCACCTTCTCTTACATACCTAGACAGTCTCGGCATCACCTTCTCTTACATACCTAGACAGTCTCGGCATCACCTTCTCTTACATACCTAGACAGTCTCGGCATCACCTTCTCTTTCGCAAATTCTACTGGTGCAGCTGAGGTGCCAAAAGCTGATTCTGCTTCCAAATACACATCGAAACACATCATCAAACGCTGCAGCTGATTGGTCAATAAATAATCATATGCTCCATGTTCACTGAACTCATCAAAATGAACGTTGACTTCATTCTCCATCATCTGAATAAAATAAATTTTATTTCAATAATAATAATAATAACATTAATGCATGCTAACTACATACACACTTATTAGGGAACAAGTTACAGTAATTACTGGCAGCAAGAGGTATTATGGGAATACTACAACCAAAACACAGCAGACATGAATGTGATCCTGTAACACCAAGTTCAAACTTTGCAGTATTCTCATGATTACCCTATTAAGTCTATTCTTGCATGCAGTAATAATTTAACAAAATATAGCAGCCAGAATTGACAGAAAATTCCAAGATTTGTGCAGGGTTGGTCGATTGTATTCTGTGACAGGGTTCTATTTCTGTCATACACTACATGGTTTCTGAGTAAACTGTATACAAAGAGCAGCATTTGAATATGACGTAAATATGACACATCTTTTCTAAATAAGGAAGACGTTCATAATACATTTGAATGTGTCCATTACACTTTGGAACACATTCGTACAGGTTTTTATTTTACGAACAGCTAGATTCTATTGTTTTCATTGCATGATGTGATATTTATCATGATTTGCACTTACCCGGATACTGTGATCATTAACAGCATGATGCACACCTCTCCAGGATATATTAACTCTAAACAGAGGAGGCGTGGATGGATAATTGGGATGCACTGCTATAGCTGCATTTAGTTTAGCTACAAAGAACAAACACCAAGTGAAATATAGCAAGAGAATGAATTCAGATGAATTCTTTTCACTACCAATGTAAAATGATGTATATTTTCACAACTTAAAATAATTCTATAAGTAATGACACAATATATGCCTGTTTGGTTCATAGTTGAAAATGTACCAGTAGTTCGTAATTATGTTCAAAAATTCAACTTTGTATTATCCACAAGTAGTTTCACTGAATGAGAACATCTTCTGTAACAAGCATTCCTATTGGATAGGACAAAGTCTTTGTAACAAGCATTTCTATTGGATGGGAAACATTAACAAGCATTCCTATTAGATGGGACAAAGTCTCTGTAACAAGCTTTGCCAATGCATCAAAAACAAACAAAGTCAAAAGTGCATAGTGGACCAAACACTGATGCACACACATCGCTTAATATCAAGAAATAAACACATTGAGACTCACCAGACCCTCTCTCAAACACTGCAAGAAACATAATGTCTGTTTCATTCACTAACTCAGCTTCCAATGTGTCTTGAGTGTACAACAGTGTCTACAAAAAAGATGAAACGTAACATGAGGATTTTCCCTGACAGGATATCTTGGGCAGCGTGTTATTCTTGGAATATTTTTGGTACCAGTTAAATCCAATATAAAAGCCTGATTATCAAAATAAGACACTGATGACAAGAAAACATGGCTATGAATGGTATGAGACACAAACCATCCCTTCGGAAAATGAATACATTATCTTTCCTGACTCACCATGTAATCATCGTATGTCAAGGACTTCCAACCTGTGAACTTGCCTTCCAATTTAGCTGGGAATAAACTCTGACAATCACTTGGTACAGGAATGCTATGACGATCTACATTTGAGCATAGTTATTTCAATGGTTATTCTCGCTGTTGAAATAGTATTAGGTACTCGCAGAAAAGAAGTTTAAAATTATCATAATGGTGCCAAACACAGATTATCAGTTACTTAAATTTCAGTAATATGAAACTGCCGGAAAGCAGATGATTACAAACATGCCAAAGAAACATTGGTACTAACAGGGTTCTCCCCAAGGCATTATAGAGTTAGAGGTCTCCCAATTCTTTATTTTGGATAAAAAAATAAAGCCAATTTAGCATAACAATTACTACAATATATGCAATTAACATATTACATTGTTATGCAAATTACAAATTACTGTAATAATCCTGCCAATTTAAAACAAAAACGTCATAATATCCAGATGTCTTG